ATGAAACCAATTTTAATGGACTGAAACAATTTGGCCCGAAAACGTATGCACAAGCTAACCGACCCGCAGCAACATCAGAACTGAAGTCTATTTTTAATTTTATGACTTTGACTTTGTCACTTTATTTACGGTCGTGCAAATGATAATTTACGTGAAGCAAGGCATATTTATGCAGGAAGATATCTCCAACATAATTTACCGTCAAACATTTGCGAACATTCACCTGTATTTCGGAAACTAAGCCGTTTAGGACACATGTTTATATGAACTTTTTTACTTGAAATAAACCAAAGAATCGCTCTTTTAAGTATAGAAACATACTTAACTAACATCCTGTATATAGTAAGTCGCAAAACGGTTCCTAAGTAGCACACACACGTTTTAGAAATGTTTTATAAACGTTAGAACCAAATCTTTTATAACCGTTTTCAAAACGTTTCATAACATTTCTGAAACGTTTTTTATGAGTAAAAATGTCCACTCAAAAAACGTTTGATGAAACGTTATTTTTGCGAAAAAAAATCGTTGAAGAAACGTTTTATAATCGTTTCATAAATAAGGTTTCAGTAAGGTTTCTGTTAAAATGTTTTTTATTGGTGCTTTACAGTTCTGAAACTATAGATACGTTTAAAAAACTTTTCTAATACGTGTTTGTGCTACCTGGGTTTAAACACAATGAATTTTAGAGCGTAGCCGATGGTCCAATGAGACAACTTATTTTTGACTAATTCGTTCTTTTATTGGATTATTGGCTGCACTCTGAAATTCATTATGTTTAAACCATTTTATGACTTAGTGTACAACAGAATATCAATTTTAACATATAACCTTCGAAGTAATAATACTATTTTTGAACAACAATCTTTTCTATTGTTGCAGTAAGTTGTTTGTACAACTTTTTTAGGAATGTGTATTTTTTTATTTAGGAATATTTTAACCCCACACAACAAGAATATCCCAAATACATCATAGGGATATCTTGAAGATATCGCATATCCCTATGATATATTTTTAACACCTCTCCCTCAGAGAAATATCATATTAAGAATCATTGATAATTACTTATTATCCAGTATTTTTTATACTGAAAATAAGTAATTATCAATGATTCTTAGTGTGATATATATCACAGCAATATTATATTTTCATTACAATATTACCAGGGAATATACAGAAATAATGCTGGAATATTACTAAGATATCACAGTAATATTAAAATGTCCGCGGCAAATGCATTACAGTAATATAATGGTGAAAATCACAATGATATTATTGTGAGAAAATCATAATATTAAAAAATACACTTATATATTCCTAGTTTTCTCATGTTTCATAAAATACTACCTATCGAAGATTGTCAAATACATTCCAAACTTTCGTGAAATCCTCCAGCGATAATTTCGATCCCAAGCAGTATACACCACTGGTCACCATCCATGTCCTGACCGCATTAAACTGTTGCTTAAACCTGACGATCGAGCGCGCACGCGGTGACTCTGATGATTCCAACGATGTTTTTACAATTCATGCTTATATAATGTATCCTTATAGTGTTCACAGTATATTATAACATACCTAGCAAACATCAAATAATAGTTATATAATTTTTACTTAGTGTTTGTTGGATAATTTGATGATAGATATTGAAATAATGCAACAACATTCGATATGCGATAAATATTGATGTAATGTAGTGAACCAGTGATAATTTTAGATTTTTAACAAAATATTATAATGATTAATCCAAACAAAAAAAAAATTAAAAAATCCAAGAAAATCCAAATTAAACAAATCGAAATACTAAATTTTAAAAGAAACTTTTAAAAAATACTATTTCTATAAGGGAAGGTGACTTCAAATGACGCCATAACAACGTTTTAATGATGTCTATAATGTCAAAGAAATTGATATGTCAATTGATGTCACCATTCTATTTAGAATATGATATATTACTATAATTTAACTATAATATTGCAAATATATAAGTGTAATATTTCAATGATATAAATGTGTAATATTTCAATGATATAAGTATGTAATACTGCAGTAATATTTCTGTAATATTTCACTGTGATATGTAATATTACCACTATATCGCAATATCACTGCAATATTTCTGCAATATTACGTGCTGTGTGAGTAGTTATTTTTAACTATCATGTGTGTCAAAATATACTATTTTAATACAAAACATGTGTTTAAAAAAACAACCACATTAACCAATTTAAAACAATACCCAGTAAACATGCATGTCTAAAAGATGTCGAAAAGGTATCTAAAAGATATCTTATGTAACATTTTGTTGCATAAGACGTCTTTTAGATATCTTTTCGACATCTTTTAGACATGAATGTTTACTGGGTATTAAGTCATTTTTTACTAAAACAAAGGTTACATTAACGTGCACATAATAAAAAATAAACTAAATTTTAGTCAAATTTAATACATTTCTTAAGTTAAATTATTTAGCTCCATTACATTAGTTAAATTAACGACATATTTAGTAGGAGCAGTGGCGACTTATAGGAGTAGTTAAAAATAACTCAAATTAAGTATAATTTAACAATACGGATTTAACAATATATATGGGAACGTATATGTAGAGATGTGATAAATATACGATTGATTAGAATATTTTTTTATTATCGTATATGAAAACAATTTTATTATTCTAATCAATCATTGTGATTTTACATTTATTTTCATTTCCTATTTCTTCCGATTCCTCGACATTCTCGTGCCGTGAGGAGTTTATCATCAATATTTTTCTTGTGAGGAACATGACAAAATAAACGAATGATAAACTACAAAATTATTGCAGTTTTAAATTATTTTAATTACACTGGTTGACATGTATCAGGTTCAAGGATAAGAGTGGTTTCTCGTAGATTTTTTAGCGCTGATTACGAATCTAGCCGTAAACGTAGTCTAACACGTCAGGATTTTAAAAAAATTGCAGTTAAATATGCGAGAAATATAATTTTTTATGTTTTCGCATCAGTCATATCTTTTAACAAAAACGTGATACAGAGTGCTGCGAGCAAAAGAAAGCTTTTAACTTGCAGTTGATGTAACAAATATGAAAAAGTTGAACCAACATCGAAAAACTGCGTACAAAAATGGACATTTTCATTTTTTAGAGATTTCCTTACTCACTCAATAAGACGTGGGACATTTATATGGGGATTTTCAATTCTCTTATATATTAACCCATACAGCACAGTAATGTTGAATCAATGTTGAAAAAATGTTGCATTGCAACAATGTCAATATTGCAGCAGCATTGAGAAACATTGAATCAACGTTGCACAAACCTTGATATGATGTAAAAATGTTCGCGATTGTTGATTTTTCCTTGACATTTCAACGTCTTATTTATTCTTATTGTGTTTCATAATAAAAAACTAATTCCTAATTTTCTCGTGTCTTATAAACTGCTAGAAACCGAAGATTGTCAAATATACTCTAAAACTTTCGCGAATTCTCCCTCGATAATTTCGAATCCGAAGCGATATGCCGGTACCACCCATCCATCCTGACTGCTTAATCTGACGATCGAGCGGCACGCGATGACTCCAATGACTCCAACGATGTTCTTACAATTTATGCTTATAAAATGTATACTTACAGTGTTCACAGTATATTATAACGTATCTAGTAAATACATGCGTTGATTCGCCTATCTATTTTATTTAATATCTCTAAAATTTATGTAGTTATTTACAAAATGACTTCGACTATTCTTTCCAGTTTAATGTTTTTATGCATTTTTTGTTATCGATACAGCTTGCGTCAGACTTTATATAATAGAGAATATTATGAAATAAAAGTATATTCAGGGTTTGCGCAAAATTGTTTTAACACAATTTTACATATAAATAATAAGAAAATATATATGATTATGGTATATTGTAATATAATATGTATCATATATATTACATATATATTAATATAATAAAATTTAATAATAATTTATTTTATTAATATTATTATATAATAACAAATTTTTCCATAATATTATCAATAATATAATTTTCAATGCTCCTTAAATATTATTGTAAAAAATTGTACTTTTTATTCAATATATATTAATATATATATATAACATTGCAGCAATATCTTGTAATCAATGTAGAAAAATCAACATATATTCTATGTAGAAAAACATCCACACTTCTATCTTCAAGCTACGTCATTTCGTCTTAGCTACGTTTTTTCAACGTTCTGTACTGTATAAGTAGTGACTTCTAAAACTCTCGAGTGTAATTTTATTTCATTTTGACGTGTTAGGCAATTTACCGCCGGACTCGTAATCAACATTAAAAAATCTACTAGAAACTATTCGTTATATTTCCGAACTTGAAAAAAGATCATATTTTATCGATCAATGTTATTGTAAGTTTGTTCTTTTTAGATAAACTGGCTAGCCTGAAAATAATAATTTAAGCTTAAAAACAATATTTTAAGCTTAAAAACAATAATTTCATCTTAAAATCAATTATATATTTTATTTTAATGTTATAAAAGAGTAACGAAAAAATAATAAACCATTATTTTCTTAGTAACAATAACAATAACCAAGATATTTTTTTCAAAATTAGTAACGATAACGAGCTACTTTTTACGAAAACTAATGGTAACACGTTACTTTTTTGAAGTTACATTCCGAACTCTGGTTTCAGACACATAGTGCGCTTTTATCCACTTTCACTTTAACATTTTAGATGAAACTGTGACCGCTTCAACGGTAAGGTAAGGTTCTTAGTAGGAAGCAATGGTGAAAGAAAGTGATGAATTGCAGGTTTACTCCCGACTTCGCGATGTGCTCTTTCACTGCTTCCGATATGTCAATTGTTAATGTCAAAAAAAATTGCGCATCGCAAGCCTTCGGTCACCGTTCATTATCTGTGAGCAACAGAGTTCGTGAGTGCGACCAACAGCATTGAGCTATTCCAGCTCTCTCCCACCATCTGATATTTGTTAAAATCGTGGCTCCGCGCATCGTTGTATTCAGTTCACTCCAGTAGTTCACTCTACTCTAGGTCGTAGCAGCCTGTGTTCCCTCGAGTACGCGACAGCATGTTCCTCGGTTTCGGGATCGTACTGTCGGCAAAAACAGAAACTACAGAAGGAAACTCAATCTACGACCTCCTTATGTCGGTTGGCCTTTTGGATATACTTCTCTCGAACTGCGCTCGATAAAAGTTGCACTTCGCAACTGCACTTCGCAAGGAAAGAGCTCGTGTCGTTGAAAGTGCTTGACTCGTGTCAAAGATTGACGTCTCATGATGGTATGTAGAAGATCCTTAGAACGTCTTTTGATCCTGTCATTTCGCGACAAGAAAATAATTTTCTAAGCCGTAGAAGTGGCTAAGGAAAATATCCCTTTTTCACAAAGTAAATATGCAAGAAACGATCCAATTTCCTCTTCATGAAATTAGCTACTGTAAAATTCATTTTTTCTCGTGAAGAGAATGTAAACGAACGATCCAACCAATTCTCGTGTCAAGATTAGTCGTTGGACTGTATCTCATTGTTTAACAAAGAAAACATGAGAGAAACGATCCAATTTCCTCTTCTTGAGATAATCGCTGGACTGCGTTTCGTTGCTGTCCCTTTTTCCGTGAAGAAAACTTGAAAGAAAGGAGTCAGTTTTCTTGTCTTGAGATTAATCGCTGAACTGTATCCCGTTGTTGTGCATCGTCAGCGCAATCTATTCGTATCGTTAAAAACTAATAATTTTTAACAACTCTTGCAAAATAATAAAGTACAGAAACGGATACAGATTAGTAAATGTGTAGTTTCACTAATAACAATGTCAGCGCCAGCATCCTATTTGGTCTATGTAACTTGTTAATAAATCATTCTTCGATATATAGTATACTTTTTGATAATCTAATTCGCGACTCTGCAACCTTTATACATTTGCGAATAAATACACGTAAAGTTCACGAAGAAAAGAGAAAAACTATGCTGACTAATATTACACTACATATAATACGGTAGTTCGCGATATATGTTGAAAAAGTATTTCAGCACGTTGCGCAAGTCGATCTATTTCAAACCGAATACGGCATTATGTGCCGTAATTAAAGTTAATTTAGCGGAATCCTCCGTGCAGCTTAGACGAAGTAAACTTTAACACGCGTCCAGCGTTCTACCGTGGTTCTTAAAAAATATGGTACGTAGCAATGCGATTGTATTACGCGTGCGTTTCTTTTTTATACGACTCCAATGCACACTGAGAGAAAAAAAGATTGTTGATCTAATTAAAATTATTGTTATTTCTGATCTACACCGTATTTTCTGGTTCTAATATTTCTCACGAAAGTGGTAATAGCAACATGCATACTAGATAATTATTATTACTGATGATATATCTTATGATAGAATTTAATAAAAAATGATTTTCTTAATCATTTATGAAAATAATTTCTCTATGTGATCGTAGTTACAAATATACGAAACATTTTTTTAGTATATCACTCGCGCAAACTTTTTTACACGTGAGCGTTGAAAGAAGAGTATTTAACCTAACTTAATTCAATATTTTCTTGTAAAATAGAACGGGAGAAACGAATCCTACTCTGTTGATAATTGTATAGTGTTAGTGTCACTTTTTTCGTATTTCTTTGCATATGTAAAATTATAAGCGTTACGTAAACTTGTTTCAACAGTTGCATTGAACGGCAAGCGACAGAAAGTGATGTAACATATAAATTACACGTTGTTTTTATGTTAAAAAAAATGTTCGTTTCAATATTCAATAGTCTCCTCCTATAATTTAGGCGAGTACTGACACAAAACAGGCACATTTTAACTGAAAATATGTGGTCGCTACTCTAATGTATAGAGTATCCTTGGCAAAAGGATAATTCTCGAGTCTAACTAGTTAATTTACATGTAAACGTATAAACATTAATTAATCGCCGCCACAAGAAATATCGTCGTGGAATATGAAAGAGTTTAGTTTTTACTACGCGCGCGAAGCTTTTCGATCTTTCTGAGCGCGATTTACATGTACACACGTGGAGAGAGTCAAACGCAGTTCTACTACGCGAACCAAAAACTTTAAGAGAGAAACGGGGAGGGGGGCGGGGGAAAAACAAGCTATGTAATTTGCATTCGACTTTCGTAAAGAAACCATTAGAAGAATGGCAGGAATCTAAAAGCCGTTACATGAGAACGATAACGAAAATTGTGCTGCCTGTGTAAAGTTAGAAACACACACGATACACGATTTCATTGCATTCTGACATGCATGCTGAGCTCAATTCACTGTATAGATCTTCTAATGCACGATAGTGATTCATGCAATGAACTGAAATGCCGATGAGCATGCATGTGAGGAAGTACGAGGTCGTGGGTCGTGTGATTCCACTTTAACTATTACACAGGCAGACATCACATAAGCAAACACAACAGAGCGAATAATAAAAAGAAATTTGAAAACAAACCATTTCGAGGACACTCATTAGGTTAATAAATGCAAGTGGGAAAACAGGCATGCGAGCATATTTATACATGTCATGAGATCGAGAAAAAACTTAAACGGTCAATTGAAAAAACGATCATTAGAGTCGTATTGCTATGCACAATTCGTGCACAACTGGCAGACACGTCGGGGGAGTTCTGATTATGTTTTCTATGGTATACGTGAAATCGAACGCTATGATAAGACCAACCGGCATCGTAATATTATTAATAATATTACTAATGTTACGCAAATATTATTAATAATGTTACGCATTAGTAATATTATTCATATTGTTATTAATATTATTCATATCGTTATTAATATTATTCATGTCGTCAGCACTATAGTTATTGATGTGAAGAGTTTTGTATAATTAAATAATAAGTGTTAACTTCTAAAATAGATAGTATGAGTTAGTCGCTAATTCTTAGATATGATATCTCATGTTTACTTAATAATTAAAATCACAAAATTCTGATGGAAGAACTCAAATATTGCGCTATTATTTTTCTTCTTTTAAATTACCCTTATAGAAATATCATACTAAGAATCATTGATAATTACTTATTTTCAGTATTAAAAATACTGGAAAATAAGTAATTATCAATGATTCTTAGTATGATATTTCTATAAGGGTAAACAGTCATTTTTATGCCTCTCTCTCTCTCTCTTTCTATGATAATCATAACGTTTTATTTTAAACGTTTTTCTGATTTATTAGGTTTCTGGGTTTGAGCCGTGTGGATTTTTCTTTGCTTGATTCCGAAATTTCGCGAACATTTCAGTCTGTTTCATCAAGGAGGAACGAGCCGATGCCGTTCTATTTTAAAGGTTTTTTTATTTATTCCAATTGTATTCAGATTGCCTCTAATAACAAAGTATACCGTAGAAAACGTAATCATTAGGGTCGTATTGCTATGCACAATTCGTGCACAACTGGCAGACACGTCGGGAGAGTTCTGATTATGTTTTCTATGGTATACGTGAATTGGAACGCTATGATAAGACCAACTGGCATTGTTAGTAATATTATTCATATCTTTATTAATATTATTCATATCGTTATTAATATTATTCATGTCGTCAGCACTATAGTTATTGATGTGAAGAGTTTTGTATAATTAAATAATAAGTGTTAACTTCTAAAATAAATAGCATGAGTTAGTCGCTAATTCTTAGATATGATCTCATGTTTACTTAATAATTAAAATCACAAAACTCTGATGGAAGAACTCAAATATTGCGCAATTATTTTTCTTCTTTTAAATTACCTTTATAGAAATATCATACTAAAAATCATTGATAATTACTTATTTTCAGTATTAAAAATACAGGATAATAAGTAATTATCAATGATTCTTAGTATGATATTTCTATAAGGGTAAACAGTCATTTTTATGCCTCTCTCTCTCTCTCTTTCTATGATAATCATAACGTTTTATTTTAAACGTTTTTCTGATTTATTAGGTTTCTGGGTTTGAGCCGTGTGGATTTTTCTTTGCTTGATTCCGAAATTTCGCGAACATTTCAGTCTGTTTCATCAAGGAGGAACGAGCCGATGCCGTTCTATTTTAAAGGTTTTTTTATTTATTCCAATTGTATTCAGATTGCCTCTAATAACAAAGTATACCGTAGAAAACGTAATCATTAGGGTCGTATTGCTATGCACAATTCGTGCACAACTGGCAGACACGTCGGGAGAGTTCTGATTATGTTTTCTATGGTATACGTGAATTGGAACGCTATGATAAGACCAACTGGCATTGTTAGTAATATTATTCATATCTTTATTAATATTATTCATATCGTTATTAATATTATTCATGTCGTCAGCACTATAGTTATTGATGTGAAGAGTTTTGTATAATTAAATAATAAGTGTTAACTTCTAAAATAAATAGCATGAGTTAGTCGCTAATTCTTAGATATGATCTCATGTTTACTTAATAATTAAAATCACAAAACTCTGATGGAAGAACTCAAATATTGCGCAATTATTTTTCTTCTTTTAAATTACCTTTATAGAAATATCATACTAAAAATCATTGATAATTACTTATTTTCAGTATTAAAAATACAGGATAATAAGTAATTATCAATGATTCTTAGTATGATATTTCTATAAAGGTAAACAGTCATTTTTATGCCTCTCTCTCTCTCTCTCTATGATAATCATAACGTTCTATTTTAAATGTTTTTCTGATTTATTAGGTTTCTGGGTTTGAGCCGCGTGGATTTTTCTTTGCTTGATTCCGAAATTTTGCGAACATTTCAGTCTGCTTCATCAAGGAGGAACGAGCCGATGCCGTTCTATTTTAAAAGTTTTTTTATTTATTCCAATTGTATTCAAATTGCCTCTAATAACAAAGTATACCGTAGAAAACGTAATCAAAACCCCTCCGACGTGTCTGCCAGTTGTGCACAAATCGTGCATGAATAACAATGCGATAATGGTCGTCTTTTTCAATTGACCATCTGAGTTTTTCCTCGATTTCATAACATGCTCGCGCATTTGTTTTCTCGCTTGCATTTATTAATCCAACGAGTGTCCTCGAGATAATTTTCTTCAAACTTCTTTTTATTATTCACTCTGTTATGTTGGCTTATGTGATGTCTGCTTGTGTAATAGTTAAAGTTAATACATTGTTGCTGTTACATAAATTGGAAAATAAAAACATATATAACTATATTCAACATATACTTGACACATTTAATTTTGCAGTTCTATATCAGAACTGCAAAAAAAATGTCACATTTTTGAATATGGTGTGCCAAG